GGATGGCCGCGGATGCCCCGCATGCGTCGGTCGTCGCAGTCCACCTCAACGTGGGTTCCGGGGTGGGCCGCGCCTCGAAAGGCGACGAGGCTGCCCGGGAGCGCTGCGAGACGCTCGGCCGCAGCATCCAGGTGCTCGAGTGTATCCGCGAGGTCTTCGACGAGGTGCCATGCCTCTTCATTGTCTCCGGGGAGGCCGGGATCCCCCTCCGGGACCTGCACATCCTGTCGGAGGCGCTCGGGTCGAAGCCTGTTGCGATCGACGCTGGGACGATGTCTGGCTGTGCCACAGCAGAGCCGGCCAGCCTGTGGCTTGACCCGGAGTCGGCCTGGAACGGCGACGACAACGTCCGTTTTCCGGCGGTTGCACCGCTGGCGGAGCGCGAGGAGTAGGCCGCCGACGCATTTTGCAAGGCGGAGGTCTCACCTGACGCCGTGGCGCGTTGGGAGGCCGACAGGTTCCGACTGCCCGTCCACCATTACGAGGACAGCGTGCTCGTGCTGCGGCCGGGCGCCGGCGGCAAGACGCCGCTGCGCGGCAGCGACCGCGAAGTCTTGCATGGTTTCTGGCCGGGTTACGGCTATGCCGGCTGCAAGCCGATCCACGAGTTCTCGCCTACGGAGGCGCGGGCCCAAGATGCCCACGTCTTGCGAGGGCTCGCGCGGACGCCCCACGTCGGAGTGTTCGCGTGGTTGTTTGCGCAGGGGATGGCTGTCGAGAACGTCGCGAAGGCGCCCCTGACCCCGGGGGAGATCCAGTCGGCCTTCATCAAGGAAGCCGCCGAGGTTAATGCGGCAAAGGGCGCCCTCAGCCAGTGCCGGGCGCAGCTGCCCCCTACGCAGCAGTTCTCCGCCAAGGCGCTCGGCATCTCCAGCCTCTCCTCCGAGGAGAAGATGTACGAGCTGCTCCACGAGCTGCACCGTCGGTGCGACCACCGAGGGAGCGACGCCAGGGTCGACGTCGGCAAGCCCTACAGGTTCAATGCATGGCCCCGTGACGGGCTAGATACAAACAGGTGGGTGTGGCGGCACCCTGTTGCGACGCGTTGGCAGCGAGCTGGCCATATCAATGTCCTCGAGCTGTCGACCATCCTCCTCGCCATGCGGTGGCGCGTGAGGGCCTCGCAGTCCGTCGGGACCCGCGTCTGCTTCTGCGTGGACTCCCAGGTGGCGCTCGCAGTGGTCGCCAAATGCCGTTCGAGCAGCAAGATGCTCAACCAAGTGGTGCGGAGGATCTGCGCCCATACCCTGGCCACATTCACCATGCCGTTCTACATCTACGTGCACACCTCCATGAACCTTGCTGACGGGCCCAGTCGACTTGCTGACGGCGCAGCGGGCGACAGACCACCACCCTGCATTTAGCAGCATGCCGTCCGCTAGGCGGGCACGCCTCGCTGAGGCGAGTAGAATTGGAAGGAGGATAGCACGTTCGCACATATCTCGGCTTGGTGATCACATCGTCCCGCAGCGCATGCTGGCGCTGTACACGCTGCACACGGAACGCTTTTGCTGGTGGGCGTTCGGGGCCCCCGCCTTGCCAAGGCGGGTCGATCACGTGGACGTGGGCGACCTGCTCACGGAGTACATTGAGATGCGATGGCACGAGGGCGATTCAAAGTCGTACGTGGCGTACCTCTTGGCCGGAGTCCAGCACTTCATGCCGAGGCTGCGCCGCCACATCCCCGCGGCCTGAGCTGCCGGCGCCCGCGCCCCCGCTTCCAGTGCAGGGGATGCGCGCCCTCGCGGGGCTTGCTATTGAATGTGGGCAGCGCCGCGTGGCGGCAGCGATCGTCCTCGGCTACCACTGCATCCTGAGGACTGGTGAGCTTCTACGCGTTCGCAATGGCGATCTCGAGTTGACCCCGCGCCGCGGGCGCGGGGTCGTCAACTTGCACTCAACTGAAAGAGGCCAGCGCCGCCTGCAGCAGGAGACAGTCACGGTCGACGATCCGCCGCTCGTGAAGTGGCTGGCTACGCTCCTGGAGCCGCTGCAGCTGGGCGACACGCTCGTGGCTCTCACGCAGCATGCGTTCCGGGATTTCTTCCGCCACATGCTGCTCACCCTCGGGCTGGCCCAGTCGGGTTTCAAGCTATACTCGCTGAGGCGAGGTGGGGCCACTTTCCATTACAGGGAGTTCGCGAACCTGCATGCGACCACTATGAAGGGACGGTAGGAGAACCACAGGACAGCCAGAATCTACATCGAGGACGGCGCCGCCTCCCTGCAAGAGCTTCGCCACACTCCTCGTGAGCTCAGCGTTTTCCGACGTTTCGAGTCGGTGCTGGACGCCGAGCTCGCAGGCCAGGTTGGGGAAGTTGGAAGGCATTGAGGGGTCGCTCCCCTCCCTGGTGCCTGGAGGGTGAATCCAGGTGTGTCCCCGCCGTCCGGTTCGAGCAGCCCGGCACTCCCGCCTGCCAATTCCTGGCCGGAGCATGGCCGTGAAGCGACGGCTGGACCGGGACGACGGCAGGAGTGACGCATACCATGCCGGCCCTCACAGCCTCTGCGGGTCTCTCGGCGAGAGGCCGGCACTTGACCAACTAGCCCTGGCGCTTGCGAGCAAACATATGCCTGTCTACATCCATATACATGTATATCTATACACAGACATGCACACACACACATACATGAGTGCATGCATGCATACATACATACATACACACCTACATGTGTGTGTGTGTGTATCGCCGCGCCGTTTGTTCCGACGCGCGGCCTGGTGCCTTGGGGGGGCCGCCGCGGCCATCAGGGTAAACTCCGCCTCAGACGCGGTGGGTTTGCCGTGGGCTTGCCGCGCTGCTGGCCTCGTCCGCTTAGGGCGCGGGGCGCAGGGCTTGCCGTGGGTTTGCCGCGGTTTCGGTTTCGTCCATTGGGGCGCGTCGAGAACAAACGGCGCGGCGACATATATATATATATATATATATATATACGTGTTTACACATACATAATATATAGGTCTAACATGAATAGACCCCCTCCCCAGGTTTGGGGGCGCCCAATCCGCAACCATCCAGGACAGTTTTTCGCTACCCTCCCGGTTCGCTTCCCAGAGGCGGCCCCGAGAGGCCAGAAGGACCCAGAAACCACCCAATAGGGTCCAAGAGGCCTCCAAGACAGCCCAAGAGCGCTGCAAGACGCCCAGGCCTCAAAGAAGCTCCAAGAGCGCTCGAAGAGGACCCCCAAGAGGGCCCCCAAAGTTATGAATCAGTGATGTTCCTTGTGTTTGATCAGTGTTTTTCGCGTTCTCGCGTGATGAGCTTTCGCCGCTCCAAGATGGCCCCAGAGGCACCCAAGACCTCCCCAAGATGGCCCAAGAGGCCCCAAAGAGGGCCCCAAGACGGTCCAAGAGGGCACCAAGACGGCCCAAGAGGCACCCAAGATCGCCCAAGAGGGGCTCAAGAGGGGGAACACGAACCGAAACTTCGTGTGAAAAAAAGCCTTACTAAAAGACGATCTTTCTACCATTTTTTATTAGTTCGAGTATGTTTTGATTTTTCATTGTTTCTGAAAAACCGTCTATAAGAGGACATGCCCGGCCTAAGACTTGTCCAAGACATGCACCGGCGGGTCGCGGGTGACTCATTGCGACAGTCGGCGCGGCTGCCGTCGCAGTGCGAGTGCGCCCGCCACCGCGCTTTCCCCGTCGCGGCCGCCGGGGTTCCAGCGCAGCGCCTAGCTGATGACCCGTAGGTTGAGCACCTGTCCCAAGCTGAGCGCTGGCGGTGGTCAGATTACGTGGATGGCAAAAAGCTCGCGGAGGTGCCTTCTCTGGGAGTTTGCAGAGCAGTGGGTGGAGCGCAACATCTCCGAGGCGGGGATTTAGCCATAACCACCGCCTGGTGGGTCGACCTTCGCGGACCTCCACAGGCGGTGGACATGGATAGATTCGGGCCCTCGGAGGCCACAGTGTATCCATGTCCACCGCCCGTTGGGGCACCAGGACGTCGGCTCCCAGGCGGTGGATATGGATATGGATATATCCCCACCTCGCAACGTCTCCAGTCGACACCAAGCTCTGCGCGACGCGCACCTCGTGACCTTGAGCCAGCCGGGCTTTCGTTCTTTATTCGTTGCTCTCTGCCGCGCGCTATCCTTAGCGCGCTTGTCCTTCAAGCCCTATTCGCTCCGCTGGAACGACGCCACCTTCGACTTCAGTCGCTTCGGCATCTTGGATCGCGCCGCTCTCAGGTGGCTTGGGCCTGTCTGCGCACGGCGCGCATTCACATCGCGGACGGCTTAGCAACGTAGCAGGAGATCAGGTACGCGCCCGAGCACGAGGCTCTCTCGAAACGGTTCCACGGCGTCCTCATGGCCGCCGCCAGTCACCAGCAGGGGAGGCGTGGAGCGCCACATTCTTCCCGGCGTGCCGCGCGGCCCAGGGCTGCCGCAGGAGCCGGCTGTCTCTGAGCTCTTGCGCGTGCCTGGTCGGCGTGCCACCCTCGCCGATGGCGAGCTTGTGGCCCGGCGCGCGCGCGTCGAGCACCGCTGCTCCCGGGCGGCACTGCCTCGCTTCTGCAGCGCGGCTCGACACGCACCTCCTGGCGCGTGATGCGATAAAACCATCTGCCATCGACATATATGTGCATAAAGAGAAAGGGAGAGAAAGAGAGAGAGAGAGAGAACGAGAGAGAGAGAGAGACAGAGAGAGACAGAGACAGAGACAGAGAGAGAGAGAGACAGGGACAGGGACAGGCAGAGATTGCCACGCGCAGCGGTCATCTCCGTCGTGAATCATTGACTTGGTATTTCAGTCAGCAGCCACCTGCGCTGTGAACTTTCACCGTTCTAAATGACAATCCCCCTTCCTGGCTGCGTCACAATACGTCCCTTCACATTGTCTTGCCTTCGTGGTGTTGGCATTTCCTGTTCAACCCCAGAGCAGGGCTGCGTGTTCCAGCTTTCGGCCGCCAAATGTAGCCTTCGACGGCCAGTCCACCGTGCCGCAATCGAATGGGCCAGCGCTCTGCATAGAAGAGCGCATGGTTTTCACGACAAACGAAGGTGCACACAGGCGCTTGCAGCGCGGACGCTGGATTCGCGATGCATGGCAGTAGATGCAGACTTGCCCGTGCGCTGCGAGATCTCGAGGAAACTCTCGCGCCGAACAGGAAGTCTCATGATCTGACCTGGCGCCGCTCGAAACATTAGCTGGTAACCTCTGCGCTTACGGCTGGGCCACGTTCTCTCGTCCAAGCGACTGGCGCACCCATCCGAATTTTGTTCGGAAATGATAGGCTGGAGTTCGCGCGCTCAGTGGGGCGCGTCGCGCGGCAGTGGTTGGACCAAATCTCAGGGGGATAACTCCCGCTCGGGAGGAGGGGGATGAGAACGGGCAGGGAAAAGGGAAGAGAATGGGGTGGAGGTAGCGGAGAAAAGGGAGGGGTAGGGGAGGGAACGGAGGAGGGGGAGGAGAAAGGGGAAGACGGAGGGTTGTTATATTAGATCTGGCCTGACCGTGCGAAGCGCTGATTGTTAATCTGATGCCGAAGGCCGCAATTGTTGGCATAGGCTGCGCTCCCTCGATGGCTTGCACCCTTGGAGTTCCATGAGGAGCAAGGGGCTGAGGGGGAGAGGGGGAGGATCGGGAGAATGGAGAGACGAGGGAGCAAGGGAGGAGAGGGAGGGGAAGGGGAGGGACGGTTGGGAGAGGAAGGATGGAGGATGTTTGTGTTAAGGATTATGTTGTTCCGCGTCGTCGAGCGCTCGAACACCGCACTGCTCAGAGCAAAACCGTGTTTACCAAGTCTTCCTCTCCCACACACCACAGGACTTCGAGCATTCGCTTGGCGGTTCCGCGGTAGATCTCCCTCTCTTTCTCTCTCTCTCTCTCTCTCTTTCTTTTTCTCGTTCTCTCTCTCTCACTCTCACTCTCTCTTTCTTCATTTGTTCATGCAGTTTGTTTTTTTGTACTCTCTCTCCCTCTCTCTCTCAATCTCTCTCTCTCTATATATACAGATGTTGGAAGTTGGGGGGTGAGATCGCAGTGGGCCCGAGAGCCCCCCACCGGGAAGTCGGTTTCGGTTTCGTGTATGTGTCGCGCGTGCGGGCGAGGCGAAGCTGCCTGGGCGCGCGAGAGGAATGATACCGCCGTGGCTGTGGACTGTGGAGCAGGTTGTCCGCCCCCGTCCCCATGGGCGCGCGGTAGCCCGCGGTGTCCCGTGGGTGGCGCGTCGGTGTCCCGTCGGTGTCTCCTCGGTATCGCCGCCGTAGGGGCTATGGAGCAGGTTGTCCACCCCTCTCCCGGGCGCGCGGTGGCCGGGGGTGTCCCGTCGGTGTCGCGTCGGTGTCCCGTCGGTGTCCCGTCGGTGTTCCGTGTCCCAGAGCAGGGCGGCGCGCGTCAGTGTCCCGGAGCAGGGCGGCGAGATCGATAGTGAGATTGTTCGGGAGATCGATAGTGAGATCCGTCGTGAGATCGATAGTGAGATATGTAGAGAGATCGATTGTGAGATTGCTTGTGAGATATATATAATGGGATCGACATTGAGATCGGACATGAGATCGTTTGTGAGATCGATTGGAAGATCGATTGTGAGACTGACAGTGAGAACTGAGTCCGATGGTGAGATCGAGGGTGAGTTCGATTGGCAGATCGACGGTGAAATCGATTGGGAGATCGATAGTGCGATCAGTTGTGATATCGATCGTCGCCAACCCGAGTGCGCATCACCGGCATCGTCCTCATCGCAGCCGCCAAGTTTGCCATCGGTTGGTTCTTCCCCCCCAACCTCCGTATCACCCGAAGGGTCGTCGTGTAGGTATAGGGGTATCGATGTGAGCCTGTCTTGAACGACGGGCTCCGCCCAGCCAACTGTGCTGTCGCCGCTAGCCTCCCCTATCGTCCCCTTCGTGGTGGCTTCGTCGCCCGGTCCCTCCGGCGCGTCTCCCGCCGACGCGCCGCGCGATCCCTCGAGAGGCAGCCCACGATCGGCACGGAGAGGCTCCGCGGCACGCGGGCACATCAGGCAAGAGACCAGGCTGCCGGCAGGTGCCCCGCGTGCCTTCGTGATCCCCCGAGGGCCCCCGGGAATCCGCAGCTGTCCCGGGGCCGCTCGGTGAGCTCAAAGATGGACGGCGGGGCGGACGGCGGATGCGCCCCTGCATGTCCACACGCCCGCCGGCCTCGCCTTCGGCGTTCGGGGCCCCCCAAATGACCGGAGCGTTGCGTTGCATGCTGTCCCGCTGCTCATGAAAGATGGTGCACGTGATGTTGGCCGCAGGTCGACCGAGCAACGCCTCGAGGCCGTGTTGGCGTTTCGGAGTGTATGTTATCGCTACGCGATGGCTGCAATCCTTGTGATCTCCGCGCTCGGCTCGAGGGGCTCTACATATGGTGGCGCCACACACATGAGCTGACTCCATACCCCACGGCCACACGGCGCCATGAATCTCCTCTCTGGGACCACGCTGGCCCGCGCCGCCCTGCTGGCGATGGCGCTCCAGCCGCTGGGGTCCAAGGGGCAGGACGCCTCCTTGATTCAGGTTGCCGTGCGCGACGTCAAGGCTACAGAGAAAAAGAGAGACGCGGGCGAAATGTTTGTGCCCAGCCTGTTTTTCTCCTCGGCCTCCCCCATTCTCCTCTTCTCCTCCTGCTGCTGCTGCTCCTGCTCGTCATCCTCGCTCTCCTTGCCCCCCTCCTCCTCCTCCTCCGCCTCCTCCTCCTTCCTCCTCTTCCCCCCTCCTCCTCCTCCTCTCCTCCTCCTCCTCCTCCTACTCCTCCTCCTCCTCCTCCTTTTCCTCCTCCTCCTCCTCCTTTTCCTCCTCCTCCTCCTTATCCTCCCCCTCCTCTGCTAATGGCTAATGGATCAATTATTACTGGTTGTTCGTGCGCGAGAGGACTGGCCAAATTGATGACGATCACGACCCTCAGGAGCATAGGAGTGAAGTGCAACCTGGTTAGGATCGAGAACCTCATTGATGACATCAGTCTTCATGTCATAGGAGGCCCTGCCCAGCTCAGAGTTCAAGCGGCAGCTAGCTTAAAGTTGCTCATCCAGGGTATGCAGGACAGGAAGCTGCCGATCTCTTGGGACAAGTGCATGGTGTTTTGTAGTGATGAGGAGATCAATCGAGAGGTCCGCAATCAGGTTTAGCATTTTTGGCGAGAAGACCTGCCCTTCCCTGCCCGCGATGCCCACCACAGAGACCGAGGAGGTGATGGTATTGACGGCAGGATGAGGAGGATCCCAATTCAGATTTCCAGGAAATCTGAAGCTCTCCAGACAGGTTCCAGGGAGCTCCCCAGGGACTGGGACATCAGAAGTCGGTGGCGCATCGAGCGGGAGTCCTGGCTAAGTCCCTATGGGGCTCCAGTATCCACGGGCCTGCGAGTTCGAGGATTCAGAATTTAAGAATGTCGTATTTGATTGTAGGCAAATACAAACCAGGAGCTTATGTGGGGCTATCGCTGCTCACCGCAGAGTGTGGCTGGCAGCAGGATCCCTTGGTGATTGCGACAGTGGACGCGGTCCACGCCTGTGCCGTGGCCATGACTTCGCATTGCGTCACCTGGACGATCGTGGAAACACTCCCGAACGAGGCGGGAGTTCTGCTGTTCGGCCCACAGCGTTGGGCCAGGTGCAGAAACCCGATTTCGGAGCTTCCCCACTCACTCCACAGGATAGGCTGGTCGCGGGTGGGCACTTAAGATATGGGACGATGATGAGCAGCTCTGGTGCTTTGGGGACACACTGCCAGCCTTACTGAGCAAGCTGGTCAGGCTCGGGGCCCGAAGGTGCATCCGCAAGGAGGGCCGCGGCAAGATTTCTGCAGGTGACCCTAGAGTACCTCAATGGCCCCTGTTACCCTGGATTGTGATCAACGAGGCGTTGTATTCTAAGCGTAGCACGCTTCAGCCGCTTCAGAGAAGGTCTCTTAGGCGCCTCCGTCCGGGAGCCCACAAGTACCAACACAGGGTCTCGAGGGCCTTCGCCGGGGAGCCCGAGGTTTGCCTGCGTTGTCAGGCGACCTTCGCGACGTTCTACCACATATTCTTTGAATGCGACGCGCTCTCTTACTTTAGGCATGAGTGGTTCCCGATGTAGCTGAGGAACCCCGCGAGGAGGATGAAGCAGGCGCCCGGAGCTATTCAGTCATTGGTCTGCCGCGGCCTTCTACTTGGCCCCTCTCAAGTATTTGCTTTTCCAAACAGAAGCCCAACACTCGATTGTCATGACACGGACAGGAGAAAGGGCATCGTACATGTGGCTGGAGGCTTTGTTTTCACTGGCGGTAGCGGTTTCACACCGACATGCCATACCTCAGGAGTGCTGGATGGTCTGTGGTGCTCAATGGTCACTAGATGAGGCTGGTAGCAGGATGTTCCGGTGCGTCCCTGACGGTGTGTGCCCACAACAGGAAGCAAAGTGCGGAGAGGACTACGCGATGCTAGTTGTGACTCGTCAAGTTCTTGGCTCATACACTGTGCTCTCGGATTACAAGGGCATTTTGTCGTACTGCAGGTATCCAGCTAATGCCGTGGGGGGGGGGCAGCTGACCCCATGGCCAACATCTGGAATAATATTGCTCCAAGCGAAGAGTTTCACAAGCAGCAGTTCAACCATGTCAAGAGGCATGCCACATACAACGACGTGATTGAGGGCGTGTGCCCCGCTTTCAGGAAGATTGTAAACTCTACATCAGATGCCCTGGCAAAGCGTGGAGCCGCCTTCAACATGCCCGACATCGGTCACGTGGACTTCGAGCGTGGCTGCAGGCGAGTGCACCAATTACGGTTGCAATACATCGGGAGTTTTCAAGCGTGGCTGTATGATTCGAACGCAAACGGTCTTGGTGGCCACTTTCCTGCGAAATAGGACCATGATGAGAGCCCACCAGGCCTAGATGACAATGTGCCCACGATGGAGATTGTTGTACAGGATGATTTGCATGGGGTTTCTCGAGACATGGGAAGTGGGCAACCACAGTTTGTTTGAATATCGTATGGTGGATCTGCCGCATGTTATTCTGTTTTGCGCAGCATGTTTCCAATACGTTTGCTCTG